CTACACACGAATTGCCTTATCCAGACTTAAATGAAAGGTAAAAGTTTTGATTGCTAAAGCTACCTCAAGTCCTTCAACAGTTTCCTTATATCCAGACTGAACATAATCTTTTGTGAGGGTCTCCTCAGGGCAATCAGTAGTCTGAGGATGGTAATCGGGAGGCCCGAGTCTGTCATCGTAATGCAACAAAAGAAGACACAGCAACATAAGCTAAAACAAGAGTGCAAGGAAGTAGTAAAAGCTGTAAAATGACCAACAAACAGCACCATCCCAAGTACCTGACCAAATCTAATTTTGCTGTAAATTGCAAATGAGAAACAAAATCTATTAACCACACCGATACGCTTATCGAAATCAACGAAAGGAACAATTCCTGCTCAGACCATTGTCAAAGGAACAACAAAAGCATCCTACTTCATTGCAACAATTACCTGGAGTTCAGAAGTTCTTTTTCACACTTCAATTTGTAAGGTGAGAGTTGATATTGCCGCCTGCGTAATGGAGATCGTTTTTAAAGTTTCAAAGAAAGAGGAAAAAAAGCCCTCGGTAGATAAGAAATGACAGTGAAAAGTTAACAAATCAAGTGATTCTTCAAAACAAAAACCTAGTCTCAACAATGTCAAGGTCTTGTGTAAGCAAAAGGAAAATGGGATGTCATTAACAGGAAGATGTGGAGATCAAAGAAACTCCAACAACCGTAATATGCATTTGCTCCTCAAAAAGCCTCTTCTTTTTTGAAAGAACAGACTGGTTGTTGAACCCATGGAGCTTATCCCACCCTAGCCTCTCTTACCACCAGGCTTTGATGGGTTCTCAGAAAGCTAAATACTGGAGAACAATCCACATTATTTCTTTTCTTGTCACATGCTCAGGTCAAGGAAATTGTAAAAACAAGAGGAAATAATTGGCAAATGCTTCTCACCATATTACTGTACAAAATACCGAAGGGAATAGTGTTATGTGAAATTGTACGTACCAACATAATAAAGGCTTTGCTCCGGGTAATCATACCAGCCTAGTGCATAATAATAGCATTTACCTTGAAGGAAAGTTAGAAGCTAAAGCAGGCGATTCAGCACGAGCAGTATCTCTAGATGACGGCCCGCCAATGTTACTGTTATTTACTGCACTACCGCAGTTGGCAACATGATACCTTTGCATCTCTCCCAACTACCATCAGCATACTGCCCCTAGCATAGATCACAGCAAGCCTTGAACTGCAATTAAAGACATCCTGCCCGAGTTAGCAAACTAAGTTGTAGAAAGAATGTCATTAAAAATAAACCAAGGGCCACTCATACACAATTTGGAAAAACAGATGCAAATATCACGAACATGCCCGAGTCGCCAGTGTTGTCTGTTCTAGTGACGATGTCAAAGGACTTCCTGTCAATTGGAGGAACTTAAGTATCCTACGTATTTTTATGTTTAATCATGCCCTTAAAGAACTATGCTCTCGAAACTTTTTTCCCCTTGATCAGAACTTCATGATATTGGACAGAGGAGGACGCGCAAAGATCTAAAAGTCACAATGACGGGTAGAAACAAAACCATAGCTTACAATAGCTCTCGGCTGATCAGTTCTATTAAGATCAAAGTAGGTCATAGTGCAGCATATCTGATATCTGCGACAGAAAAACCATATTACACGACTCTACAAATAATCACTCGATTCGAAGTCCCATAAACAATAGATAGTAAGGATGTCAAGAATCACGGCACAAAAGAAAAGGAATGTCAAAAATCACACTAGATGAAAAATAATACAAGAAAATAAGTTTACAAAGCTCTAATAATGGTAGTATTAAATCACATGCAAAGAAATATGGAGGGGGTTACGAGTTATCAGCACAAAATCAACCACGTCATAGCACAAAAGCCACCTATATAACAGCATGACTTTGCAATTTTGACCATAATTTCCTCTATGCCATTCCCTTGACTTCCGTCCTTTCCTTCAACTTCCCTCAAAATGCAGTTGACGCACCTCAATTCTACTGTAGTTTACCTTCTATGGAACATAGCAGAGACTACTTCTCTAAGTGTTAAACAATACCGCGACTGACATAGTACAGGAAATGTACTGATCAGCTGACCAAACACTTTTGCTTTTTCTACTCTTGAATAAAACCATGACCATAACATTCGACAAAGCCCAATGCATGAGCTATCGTAAGCAATACGCTTGTCATTTCCGCAGCCATATCCCGAGACATTCATGCTTATGCTACTTATGCTTGAGCAGGCTCCTCGATGCCACATATGGAAACGACACGAATTGATCATAAGCAGCTCCCTAGAAGGACCAAATCATTATAACTAGAACTTCTCAGTAACCGCTCTAGCGATATCCAAACCGTAGAAGAACAACAAGTCCCACTAGGAGAGAGCGCAATTGCAATAACCGTATCCCAAGACATTCCACATTCACATTGGCACCCAATGTGCTCCACCGAAATCCCGTCCCTCAGAAGCAGCACAACGCCCGTGACCAAAGGTGTCACCATGATCCGCACCACCCCGCTCAGCTATCAAGCCTCACCCTCCACACAAGAGCTCGGTACCAGCTAAAACCAACCCGAAACACTACTAAAAAAAACATCCCCGAAACGAGCAAACGAAACGCCCCAACACTACGCTCAGTCAGCACCGCACTCCAAAACCGCGAAATCACACTGAATCAAGCTACGCGCGGGAGCTAACTTCAGGACCCCGCAGCTTCCGCACGCGCGCCCATCCTCGGCGCCGGAGAAGTCAAATCTGACTCCTCCTCCTCCTCCGCCCTCCTCCCCCCCACCCCACCCGCAGCTACAGGCGAGCTAGGGTTTGGGCCAAAACCCGATTCGAGGGCTCGACCGCGGCGCGGCGGATCGGATTCCGGAGCAGCGAGTGGGAGCTAGGGTTCCGATGGCAATTCCGTTAAAAAGAGGGAAAAAAAAAATCAGAAGAACAAAACCGCGAGCGACGGGACTCGACGGACCGAGGAACCGGGCCGGCGGCCGGGGGAGGGGGGAAGGGAATCGGAGGCGCGAGGAGCGGGGAGGAGCCGTACCTTCGCCGGCGGCGGGAGATTCGAAGAGCGAGGAGCAGCAGCAATCTTAGAGAGAGAAAGGGGGAGGGGAGGGGGGGAGCGAGGAGAGAGAAATTGCGAGCGAGGAGGGAGGAAAGGAGGAAGGAAGGAAGGAGAAGAAGAGTCTTGGGGTTTGAAAGTCGCAAGCTTTCCTCTCTCTCTCTCTCTCTCTCTCTCTTTTTTATTATTATTTTTTTTTTCCCCTCTCTCTCTCTCTCTCTCGCGTGCTGTTGTGGATTTTTTTCTTTTTTTGTAATTTTCTTCTTCTTTTTTTCCGCCCTCTGCTGATGATGACGATGGTGCCTCCCCTGTTGCTGCTTCCTTCGCTAGGAGAAGGGCGATCTAGCGAGAAAAATAAATAAATAAATAAACAATTAAAATGACGATACCTTTATTTATTTTTTTAGTTTTTTTATTTTTTATTTACGGGCGCGTGTGTCCGACGTGAATTTCCGGATCTGTATCTCCGGAGGAACGGGTAAAAGTCCGCCAGCTCGGATTTGGCACCCCGACGTGGGCGAGGGGCAAAACGGTAAATTCCCTCCCCGCTGGTGCGGTGTGCTCGGCATTTGCGATTTTCAACCCCCTCGAAGAAGAGAGAGAGCCTGTCGCAACCGTCGATAGTAACAAAACAAAAAAGAAGGGGGCACGTAACGTGTAATGAAAAAGGGGGAAAGTTTCAATGAAGGGTGACGGCTGATGAGGACGAGCAAAACAGAGCAAGAATGCGATAGGCCGATGGTGCATCTTTGCTTTTCTTCCTTCGCAAGGTGTTTTTTTTTTTAAATTGTCGTCACGATCACACGGGTACGGACACGGCGGCCTCCGAGTAGCGAGTCATCGTCACGGGGGGCAAGTGAATTTTTATGGAGTTCGAAAAACACGCGCTCGGATCATCGATTGAATTTTGTGAGCTGTATGTAATTTATTTTCTCTCGATCGTATATGTTAGAGAGCTATATTAAATTCCTGTTTCATAGCAACATTTCCATAGTCGAAATACTCTTCGAGGTGCTTCATAGCTTTCTCTAGAGTCAGCCTTAGAGCAAAGTTTTCATGTCAAATGAGGCCTTCTCTAGAGTCAGCCTTAAAGCAGAACGAGCTCTGCAAAGAACAGAGTAATTACTTTCCCAAGTCAACCCTTGGAGGATTTGACTCTCTTTAGGTCGTCAAAAGGGCAAACATTGTATACTTGGCCAATTACACGATGGTTTGCAACAGCTATGTCAACTTGCCGATGAGGGCGTTCATCGACGATCGATCGACCACGTTTTAGTTTGCAGGGATCGAAATGCGATGCGGGATAACTTTAGTTCCCGCAGACCACCACAAGGCAGGTCCGCTTATTCGATGAGTTTCCGGAGGGTTAGCCAAGTTTGGCTCGATGCTGCGGCCAGTCACGGTTGCAATCTTGGTTTTTCTTATTTTTTGTACGTCATGTTATGCATGTTGCTCTGTTGTTAACCGGACAAACGAGGGCTCTATGGATCGTCAGTGGAGAAGAGCCGAGGCAAATTGACCTTTCGCTTGCTGAAAGTCCGAAACGAAAATGGTCTTTTCGCTCTATTGCTTGTCAACCTCTGTGAGATAAAATATAGTGCAGCAGAAAAAGAGGAAACAAAAAGGAAAAAACAGTGGCTCCTGTGCGACAATGACATACACTATCGGATTGCTTTCATAGACGACAGACTAGGTGGCCATCTCTCTCTGTCTCATGATTGCCTTGAATTTCAATCCTTACTCTTCCAACTCACTTTTCAAACTTCCCATTATGTCCCGACATTGGGGTAATATTGAGGTCGAGCTTATGTAAGCAAATTTTACTCGGCATAAGATGGACTCAATCCAGTGGACACGAGGTCCCAGCCAGAAAATCCCCTCCTTGGGGCCCTTGCAAAGCATTAGTGAAGAAGAGTCGTACACTAAAGAGAGCATAAAGATAACAACTTGCAACTAGCATTTGTTATTGGCAACTCCCGCTGTTTCCTTTGATATTTACAACGACAGGGTCTAAATCTGCGTGACTCCAGATTGACCATAGTACAACAGAAAAGGCGCGGGTAAACTAACAGCGAAAAACAAAAGAGTCATATGGACAAGCTGCAACAGACGAATACCCTCTTAGCCTCAAATAACACCGTAAATGCCTCATGTGCAGGGATCGGTAAGGTAGGAGCTTGACCAAATGTCGCATTAGCAGGAATGCAGTCGCCATCGCAACTGGTCAGGCTTCTTTCTGTGAAGGGACACAACAGAAGAACACCATCTGATCATATTTGTTATGAGCAAGTGATCATGCTTATGCTTCCATTTTCATATGACCCAGCAAAACCGATTGGAGGGCATTTGCTCTCTGAACTCTCTCATTCACACGGCTCGACATGATCTCGTCCATCAATTCTGCAATAATAGCTTCACTCATTTCGACGCCAATATTTTCCACGTCGAAGCGCAGGTCCATCCAAGCTCCCGCTCTACTCATGTCCTTTCGGACGATCTGTTCCAAAGATCGCGGCAGAGGAAGAGGGAGGAGATGCCAATGAACTCCTCTGCATACTTCGAGGACGGCATATTTCATGTTTGGGATCGACCTAATTCTCCGCTTCACAAAAGACAAGCAGGGGTAGCAGATGTTGTAGTACTCAAAAACGTCCAAGAGAACCTCATTGATGCAATCGAAGAGAAGCTTCTGATCATAATGTAGGTGGTCACCAAAGAAATCAACCTTATCCAAGACTGACAGTTCAATTAACTGGTCTGAAGATTGCGACTTCAAGTAGAGATCATCACAGTTCAGGTTAGAGGCCTCCAGTACTTTCTTTACATATTCGAGAACTAATTCCTTTTCCACCTCAAAGTTTCTTAAATAGATCGCCTCATCTGTGGTTGAAAAGTCATCTTCAAATTCAACTTGTAGAGATTGTAGCTCAACTGAGAAGCATTAGAAGTTTCAAATTAGGAAGAAGTTTCGCTGGTAATATACCAATCACATCAGAAACCATAACCTCAATAATTTGCTGGCTTACCAGGAGCAGGACTTGAAGGACTAATGTCATCCTCTGTGAACAGTGGCTCCAGAACAGATACGGGACTAGGTCGGTCCGATCTATCAATGACAAGTTCCAGATCTTCAACTTTTTCTATAGTTAAAGCACTCGGAGGAGACGAAAACAAAGAAAGTGGCTGCTGCTCCATGCCATAAGATTTCTGGAGAAAACGAGAAAATTGCACTGAGAATGACGAGGCGTAATCAATCCAAGGTGTTCACACACACATGCACATGCACACAAAAGCATTATCAATTGAGTTCGTGATGTGATTCAAATTTTGGTTTAGATGGATATTTGTTCCTTTTGTTTCTCCCCAAGGAAGAGAAGATCCCCAATAAGTGGTGAAAAGAATGGAGTGATAGCCATCCAAAATTCAGTTGCTACGGCAGAATGTGATCTCCCGTGCTTGATCCTCGATCACTTAATAGGAACTTTAGTGTGAAAATCAACGCTGCAGACATGGTGCAATAATGGGGCATATTCTTCCTGAGGTGGCAATGTTCAGTCTTTTTGACTATTTTGATTAGCAAATAAAATTGAAGTGCAACGAAGGCAGTATATCTGGCGTGTGACACAAGCAAGCAGTATTAATTCACCTTTTTCATGGGTTTGGAACATTCATCTTCGGGTATAGACTCAACTGACACGCCGAGTGATTTGACTGGTTCTGAAGGAGGACCAAAGATGTGGCGGTCTCCCTGGATTGCCAGTCTAGTAGCTCCACAAATATCTGCATTATTTGCTTAGAGTACATAATTCTGGAAAACTTACCCCAAAAATAAATACAAGTTTTCCTGGGCACAGTTTGTTTTAAAAGGGTTTGTACCTTCGGAAATCATCTCCTCTCTAGCAGCGGCATCAGTGGTTTCTACTTTATCACTTGAAAGAACCATCTCTGAGATATTTAGGTCAGTCTCCAGAGTTTGAACACTTCTAGTGAAACTCTTGGGAATGCATGACTCTATAGTTCTCCGGGTCGAACTGTGCGGATGGTTTAGGATGCCATGCTTTGAATCCCTTCGAGGACTTACAGTCGGAAAACAGTTTAACTCGGGATTGGAGAGAATCCTCCCTAGGGTTTCTGGATACTGTCTGCTCAAAGGAACTGCATCTGCATCCCCACGGTTGAGCATCTCGAAGAGATGCTTCTTGGCCTCGACGTAAATGTTTGATAACCTACGCTCGTGATTGTCAGCGGCTTCACTTTTAGTGCTCACTTGAATACCTCCTGGTTTACTTGCAGAACATTTTCCTACATTTTCCCCGGCACTTCCTAAGATTTGCTGCCCCTTTCGGTGCTGTTTCTTAGGACCATCTACAGTACTTCCCGGATGCTCCTTCACAACCATATTCTTCAACTTTCTCTTAATATCACTAATGAAATAGTGGGCACTTGCTCTTGTGCTCTTCCTCTTAGTGGTGTACAGGATTTGAGGTGATGAGCATGGTTTGCACCCCCTCTCAAGCTGCAGTGGATCTGGCATCCCAGGCTTCAAGATAACAATCCGGTTAGAAACTGGAGATTTCTCAATCCAATTCAAAGACTCCTCTTCCTGAGACTCGGCTCTTCTTCCGAACTTGTTGAGTTGTCCACGATGAAGAGAGTCTTCGTACTGCCTCAATGCATCTTCCTCTCCTGATAAGTTTAATTCCTCGAGTGTCTCCAGATGAGAATCTTGCAAGCTCTGAATATACTGCATTACTGTTTTGTTAGGATCTCGTATAAGATCTAAAAGAGAAAACTCGGCTGAAGTCAGAAATTGGAGCATCTTCACATCTGTGGAGCGCTGAATATTTCCATACCCTTTGACATCTTCCTCGCCCGAAGACAGCTGTTTATTGAGAAACTCGTTTATCAGTTCAAACAGTTTTTCCTCGGTGTCTGAATGCTTTGGATTTAGCTGCGCACTAACTTGACCATAGGGATCACACTTTTTGCAACCACTACTTTTTCGATTAATTTGCCGGCAGAGATCCTCCACTATTTCATTTTCATTGTGATTGGCTGCTAGCAGTTGATATGTGTTCTGAGCACAGGAGCACTCGAGTTCTGAGCCTTCCGTGGGCCCAAAATTATCCCCGTCCAAATCGCAGCTTTTCTTCGAACTTCTCTTACTTCTTTTACGGTTCTTTTTCCTTTGACTCTCCTGTACTAAACTAGATCTTTTGTGCTCAATTCCAGTTTTGCTCGCTCCCGTCTTCACTTCCTCGATGACCATTTCTTTTTCTATGAGTGTTTTCACGCTAGTCTTTCCATCTTCACTAATCATTTCCATTCCTTCTTCACGATCCTGGAAAGTTCATCAGCCGGTCATGAATAATTTACCTATTATCAATAGAAGGCCATCTGGGCTACAGCAGTTTTGGGGAAAATTGCAGATATAATCTTCAAAACTATTCTGACAATGCTTACCAGTATGCCTTTAAGAACTTCATCGCAACTTTTTAACAATTCAAGTTTATTTCTTGGGTTTGCAGCACCTGCAGAAGGAAAAAAGCACAATTCAGGATATGTGCACTCTGCCCCATTATTAAACTAGTTTGCATGAGTTCGTTAATAAGAGACGATGGCATAACTTTCTGTATACACGTAACATTTTTGCTGAAGAAAATTGATAAAGGAAAAACAGTGCATAGCAAATGATATTAGCAAAAGCCTTTAGTTTTATCATAAGTAAATTCAGGACAAAGAGCTAAAATCTTATGCATATGTGCCATACTGAAGAAATATTGATTGCTATAAAAGAAATACTCACCAGCAACGAGGCGATTTTGCCTCCTTGGATCTGTTAGCAGCTTCCTAGAGGAACGAAAATCCAATATTCTAATCAGACCCCACATAAAGCTTGCCGGACTTTTCTCATGCTGCACGGGCCGCCTTTGCGACTTCTCCGCCATCGCAAATTGTTAGAATTGCTTGCGGTGTTGATTGCTGTACCAGGAAGATGCAGCGCTTGAGGGAAATTTGCGCAAGGCAATCAATGTCTATGATCTAAAGCAAAGAATGTACGTGTCAAACTACCACTGTAGCGAAATCACAAGAACAGCCCGATGACTCGATCACAATCTCATCAAATTCAGTCGCAGCAAAATAGATGCCTAAAAGACTTTTGGAATCTTGAGACAACATGCTTTAGATAAATAAATATTCTGACTCAATCAATTGACAATGCAGGAATTTTCAGCACAGAAACTTGAATTCCCAGCAACTCTTTTGAAAAAAAAAAAATTTCCTATTTATGCAGCAACACAATTTTCGCATGGAGTCGCGCACAAACAAAGCTGTGCCTCAATTCAGGCGAATCAACAAACAGTTTAATTAACAAAACAGTTTGAAAAACACTGCTCTGTTCTGATGATGACTTTCATTACCATACATGCAGATTGATTTGATGATGAAAAAGCAATAAAGCAAAGCATTGAATGACTTACCTCCCACTCGGACTGCGTTAATTAATTAATCGGATGAAATCAAATAGAGCAACAAGATGATTCTCGAGAGATAATGCAATAAAGACTTGCTCGGATCGCTCAATCTCTCAAATGGGTAAAGCCCGGGATGAACTTTGGTTGTGGAAGCAGCAGTCAAAGCCTCGCCTTTTTTCACTCCCAAGCCTCGATCACTTCACGGGTACTTCTCGATCTTCCCTTCAAAGAAACACAGAGCCAGAAAGAAAAAAGAGGGTCGCCCCAAATTCTGCAGAAAGTCATCGATCCTTAGCCAATCAGCGACCCCGCCATGCAAATTATAAAAAAGAAACGGAAAAAAATCTCTCCAATTCACCATGCAAGCCCAACAAAGAGCGGAACAGGTTTCAGCTGTTTTTAGCGACGAGCGGAGGAGCCGTACCAGACCAAAGAGCCTCTTCGAGGCAACCTTCCTCGGAGCGTCCGCGAGCTCCGAAGCTTTTGGGAAAACTCCTGCGAGTTGAGTACCGAGAGCGCTAGCTACAACTACAAGCGGAGGAATCTCGAGACACCCAGAAGAGGAGAGGCTCCAATGCTCCTCTTAAATTGACCCGCGGGGTCGCTCGGCGTGACGACCGCCATGCGCGAGAGCGACGGAGAGAGAGAGAGGGGGAAGGAGGGAAGGAAGGAAGGATGGAACGAAGGAAGGAAGGAGGAGAGCTTCTTCGCAAGCGTCGCTGCCGCTGCCGCTGCTGTTGGGGTGCTACGCGAAGGAGTAGTAGAGACTCTAGAGAGAGAGAGTGCGTGACGGTTGGGGGCAGCATGAGCGGGGCCCACCCCACCCGGGTCAATGTTTTTCTCTTTCCCCCTTTATTTTACTTGGTAATTTTCCCGACATGGTAGAACACGAAATCCATCTCTCTCTTTCCCATGTTAAGATTACCAAGGAAGTGGTCCGACGGTTTTTCGAGTGGCTTAACTTTAATAAATCTCCATTTTACCTAACGACATTTTGTTAATCTATCTCCGTTCGATGCGGCCATCCATATATTTGCACGCACCGCACGCACTAAGTAATTATGACGGGCATCAATGGTTCAGTTCGGGTTTTTTTTAAAATTCTAACCGAATTGTTAGAGTGTACGTCTGAACCAAATCGAATCGATAGATTCAGTTCGGTTCGGATGAGAAAATCGAATATTAGGGTATCTCGTGGTGATTTTCAGAGGGGGCGAAAAGGAGCATTCGGTTTTTATTGAGAATTTTAATTTGGTTTAGTAGCACCAAACCAAATTGAAATAACCCGAATTGGAAGAAAAGAACGGTTATTTTTTTTATTATTTGAACCGAAACCCGAACCGAACCGAAACCCGAACTGAAAATGTACGAAATTTCAGTTCGATTCGGTTCAGTTTCGATTTAGTTTTTGACGATCCTAAGATGCATATATGTGACATACATGATCTCGACAGAACAAGTACAATGGTTCTGATCTCGTTCGTTGAGATGTTGTATTAAAGGGAAATAGCCTACTTTTGATGTCCAAGGTGCGGTTCCTTCTAAGAATGATCATATATCACTAATTTTTTGCCGTTCATGATAATTAAGGAGATAGAAAACGCACAGTGAAATGTAAACCTACGATGAAATTGCGTGGCAATTATATATTCCGACGCGTGCCATCTTGGGATGAGCTAAATTTTTGTTTCCAAGTGCTGCAAGGTTCTTAGCCCTTTTCATTATTCACGCGAAGGAAAACTCGAAAAATTACTCATTCTTCTATTGTACTTGAAAGGAAAAGGAAGTGGTGTTGTTATGGGTTAATCTAGCTCGAAGCACTTATTAAGTACTTAAGCAGAGAAAAAGGTTCGATTTTGACTATGCTCTGCCTTTTGGTCCTAAGACTAGTAGTTAATAAGTCATTCACAATAGGAAATTTTCTTATCATATAAAATGATTAAAAAAACACCAACTAAAATAACATAAAAGAAAGAACCAAAACGTCAAAAGTCAACACCATCCTATCGAGGACGAGAACTTTCACAAAATCACAGCAAGAGAAGTTAAAAACACGCCAAATGGAGATAGATCGTCGTGTGTTTTGTCATTTCATGGAAAAATAAATGGTTCCTCGAGATTGGCAATTACAGGTGTGTTTGGTAATCATTCTGTCCTTGGGAATAATTTATACTTGGAAATGTTTGTTTTTTAATTCTGTTCCCGAGAATAATTTCTGTGCATTTAAAAGCATTTTGTAACTGCCTAAAATTTCTATTCCTGGAATAGAAAAAGAACAGAAATACGTTTGATAATTATCCGAAATTTTTAATAATATTTCGAAATTTTTTAATATTTCTTTCTTTACCACATGCCAAGGAAGGAGAAGAAGAGAAAAAATTTGTTTCTAGTTTGATCCTTTTCTTTGCTCTCGGGAACAAGAAGCAACTTTTTTCTACTTCTCGTTTCTGTTCCAAATTTATTTTCGGGAACAAAAAATTTATCAAACGGATTTCTATTCTTTTTTTATTCCCGGGAACAAAAGAATAGAATCATGCACTATTTAGCTGATTACCAAACAGAGCCTACATCACTCGATTTTACATAATAGAAACTCGTGGAAGAAAATAAATCGATAAGTTTCAACTCACGGTTCACCATAAGTAATGCTAAATCTGAACGGATAATTGTTTATTGGTTATTCTGATGAGTTAGGATATCAATTCGATGGTCTCACAAGCATCTCTTTCCACCATATTCAACAATGGTTCCTTTTACTGTTATTATTATTATTGTTATTATTTTGAAATTTAATTTTCCTCCTTCTTACTTTATGTCTCGTTTAATTTTCCCACTTCTCTATTGGTGATAACTAGTCGATGCCTTGGAGACATAGATGAGACTCTAAGACCCCCTGAATTTACTGTTCCCTAACTCCGAAACACCAATTGAATAAAACCCCACATCTCCAATTTCCACAAAATTCCACTCCATAAATAAAACGAATTATTAAAAAAAAAAACCTCAGGTTCTTTACCCTATGTTTGATGTCCAATTCTGTAGTTTCTTACATGAAACCCTCACATCTCCAATTCCCACAAAATTCCACTTCATAAATAAACGAATTAATTAAAAAAAATTCAGAGGAAGCATTGAATTCATCGTTCTTTACACTATGTCTGATGTCCAATTCTGTAGTTTCTTACATGAAATCGTTACATCTCCAATTCCCACAAAATCCCACTTCATCAATAAACGAATTAATGAAAAAAAAAAAAAAAACTCAGTGGGAAGCACTGAATTCATTGTTCTTTATCCCATGTTTGATGTCCCATTCTGTAGTTTCTGACATGAAATCTTGGGATCCCAAATGCACGTGAGGAGTAGTTGGGCCTAAACACCATTCGCTTGGGGGGGCCCCACTAGGGTCAAAAAAAAGGTTGGGCCCACCCTCTCTTTTACTGTTTTACAAGCTCCAATCATAATTTCTTATGCCATGAGAAAAATTGGAATTACTGACACATTTTCTTAATCATGGGTACACCCGACTCTTGAAGTCCTCGATCAATCTCCACAGTACGTCACAATAGTGGAGGCCCCCACGGTCATGGACTCCTTCAGTGGCCCTAATCGAATGTGCTAAGTACAGTGACTTGGAGCGACGGCGACGACATGTTTATTATCCGAGCAACCCCTTATACTTACTCGCAATGGAAGGGCCGGCAGTGTGCATTGGGAACCTATCACTCGATTGAGCTTGACACCGTATCGGTACGACACGTATTGCGAGCATTAGATGAAAGGCTTCGGCCTAAAAGAGACCGGGTCAAGGACCGGACTATACACCAGACAAACCCAATGGAGATTATTCTAAAGTTTGGTGCGCACTATTCTACTCAATTGATTAAGGTCAAGAACCGGACCTCCTTTTCCCTTGGGGTTTGTTGGAGAATAGCAGAGAAGCTAGATATTGCCGATGAAGGACCACCGGCTACCCTCTCATAGGGAAATATAATAACACTCGTCACCTAGAATCAATTGTCAAGTAGTTATCGAGACGTATGGGTTTGCAAGTGCTTGCTTTACTAAATTATTCGAGAAATTCGACAGAAAGAGATTGGTTTGCTGATCTTTTTCTTTTCCTTCTGTGCTCTAATTAGGTTTTTGTCTCGAGTGTGGTTGATAGGGAGCGTTGGTGTGTGTGTGTGTGTCCTTTTGCATGCTGTATATGTTGTTGTTGCAGGCCCAGCTTGCCCTCAGGGACATGCAAAAGATCAATTTGTAGTGGGGAGGACCACAGGTGCACTAAATTTCCCAAGTTCAGTCGTCACCCTCCATCGACCCTGCTTGTCCTGCATGCAATTGGAGACTTGAGAAGGAGAGCAATGAATGTCATGTACATCAAGCTTTGTCAATGAATAATACTAAAATTCACCGCAAGGTAAATAGGTTATTGGGGAGGTAAAAAGGGGTCTGAAAATATTTGAACTCGGTTGCTCCTGCCTTGATAGAGGGAAGCGTCGAGGAGCTTCTTTCTCGATGTGAACTTAGTTAGCGATTAGACGAACAATGTTATGCATGTTAAGATCATTTGGATAAATTAGCATATCAAGTAATGTGCTAATCTATAACTGGGAATTAAATTTAAGTGGGTCATACTTAAAATCTCGTAAAAATATGTCACATGTCACGTGGCTTAATACGTATGCCGGTGATCAAGAAGGAAAGAAGATGGGCTCTTCTTTCTCTTATCGTAGCTATTCTTCTTCTACGTGCCGAAGAAGAAAACTTATATGTAGAGAACAATCGGTACGAGGTAACCCATCGAGGTTTGCGTCACGACTGGTTGCTCGGTGGGTTGCCATGTCGAAGAGTCGCACCAACTGCTTATCGATTTGTTTACGAACGTCATGGACATCATGAAGAAGGTTCCGATGGGGGGAATCTTTAGTTTAATCGCTACAAAACCCTAATCTTCCTGGCTGGTGAGCTGACAAGCGACATCCATGGTCAACACGCTTTCTTTTATGATAGGATTAATATCACGAAAAACTCCAAACTGGTACACCTATGATAATTTTACCCCGAACTAATTTTTAAACTACCAAAAATCCCAAACTATTACACATGTGACAAATTTACCTCGAACTATTTTTTTGACCACAAAAAATCCTACACTGGTACAGTTGGGACAATTTTACTTCGAACTAGTTTTTTGACCACCAAAAACCCCAAATTAATACACCTATGACAATTTTA